AGGAAAAAACTTCACTTATCTTCAGATTTTCTGACAATTGATCAAGTAATAGCAAGAAAAGAAAAAAAGTATAGCTTTTATGTTGTTCATGATAGTGACTTAAAATAATTGGAAAAAGTGAAATGTTTTGACTACCGTCCAACGTATACCTGCGCTCAGAATCTGATGGAATAGCAAACACACATAATTTTATTAAGCTTTTATGATTTCTGTGAAACAGAAAAGATTTATTTCTGTAATATACATAAAGTATCATTTCTGTGGGACAGTGTAGATATCAGTTTGTATCAGTAATATCTATTTGTTGTGAAATAGTGTAGTTTATTTTCTGTAATATACGTAAAGTATCATTTCTGTGGGACAGTGTAGATTTCAGTTTGTAATATCTATTTTTTGTGAAGTAGTGTTGATTTCTGTCTATAATAAACGTCTAGTATCATTTGATTTCCTCTGAGGACATTTTAACACCACATGTGTATAATATATTGGAAGGAATTTGTAAGGTGCTTGACCTAGTACCATTGTGTATATATAGGCTATTTCTACCTTAATACCTGGCTGGTATACCTGTCACAGGTAAACATATATATATTAATACAGGTATGTGACCACCAAATTAAAGCAGGGATATATTTACATGAACTCGGTGGTGTTTTTATTTTTATAACAATTTATGGAGTGTATTTGCCTGTTTATGTGGAGTATGAATTAGTCTGAATGCCACTCTCATATACATACAACACACTAGACATGTTTATGAATATCAAGTCAGTCTTTACTTTTAGTTTCGTGGCAAAATGAACCTAAGTTTAAAAAAGTCACTTAAAGTGTTTGAGTAAAAATATTGAGAGGTGCACCCTACCCAAACGTTCAAGGAAACTGTTTACCTGGAATTACTGGAGCATTCACTGTGAGGTGTTGAGTGGAATTTTTACCTGTGTTTGATTGCGAGGACGTCGATGAGGACAGTCTATTGTTTGTGTGACATAATATGTGCATCCCTGGATTAAATTGACCTTTGGGGTCATCAGATAAGTCTTTACACCTGTGTCAGGTAGTCAGCATGGTGAGTAAGGCAGTGTACATACCACACCTGTAGCGTCACAGGTGTGACATTTAGTGTTGTGATGTTAAGTATACATGTATATATCCTCTTTCTCCTTCTCTGTAACTCTTATGTCTTCCTTTTCAACATTCTCTCTGCCACCAACTTATCTTCAGCTGAACATCACTTAGTGATTATAAAACGGTCCCTGGTGGTTGGATGGTGTCGAGGATAGCTCATTTGCCTTTCCGCAAGACAGGAAGGGTCACCTGCCTGACCATGTGGGTTTTCTCCAGGTATTGTGTGGTCAGTTTTCCCCCATATAAAGAACCCCTGTACAGTACCACTTGGGATATCAAGAGTGATTAATATCAGCCGATAGGACTTGCTTATCATAATTGCTGTTAAATTATAAAGTTTAAGTTGAAAATATAAATTTTATTTATTTTACAACAATTATGAATTAAGTTTTTTCAACTTATATTAATCACTCTTGTTGGCCCGGATGTTAGTGTAGATGCTAGCGCATGGGGTGGGGGGGTTCTGGGAGGAAACCGGAGAACCCAGAGAAAACCCACGTGGTAGGGCAGGTGACCCCAAATTTTTCACATCTGATCAGGGAATCAAACCCTGACAGCCTTGTCGAACGGTAAGTGCACTATCCCCTGCACCACCCAAACTAATAAATGTTAAGTTAGTGTAACAGAGCGCATGATTAATTAAATATGAATCACTACCTCCGCATGGGATCGAACCCGGGACCTCTGGCTTACTAGTCTAACGCTCAACCGATCGAGCTAAAGAGAAGTTCTCTATAGCCGAGCGATATATTGCGGCTAGTATTTACCAGGGTTACATACTCCCCTTCCAGGAAAGAACTCGTCCTCGAGTTTTCCAGGGGTAACTGCGATGCTTGTGGAGCAAGGCCGAGTATTTTTCCCGGGTCCCTACGTGGGCGCCAATGTAACAGAGGTTATTATTTTTTCAATGCCGTATTTACCAGGGTTACATTAGGATCCACTATAACCTATCTACCTGTATCCGTCTGCCTAACAATCTAACCTATTTGAATGTCCCTCGATCTACAAACTTACTAAAACAAGTTTACAATTTGTGACTGATCTGATTGACAGGATCCACTCAGAGTGAATCAAAGCTGTTCTCAGAAGTATATCCTGGTTCACTATATCTGGCAAAATGTAAAATAAGAATTTGTCGGTCCTTTTCATTACTTATATTGATTCAACATGGAGTTAAAATTGTATACAATCTATGTAAATCAGCTACTTGCAGGACACTTATTAAGAGAATTATATTAAGATGGATCGCAAGTTTGTAAATATTTTTGTGTCGCCTGCGAAAAGCTGGTGGCACATAGGTATTGCGATAACTTGAGTTTCCTTGGGCCGATCAAACTCAAACTTCATGCAGTGCTTCCTTACCAAAAGTGCTTGCTTGGGATTGCTTTTCAGGTCCGCAGGTCAAAGGTCAAGGTCACTGTTACTATAAATAGAAAATATGTTTTCGTGCGATAACTTGAGTTTCCTTGGGCCGATCAAACTCAAACTTCATTCAGTGCTGAGCACAATCTCCCAGCTTCCTGTGCAGGCGACACATCCACTTCCGTGGAATTCTCGTGTTTACATGCATGGATCAGCTTGTTCAACGACCAACACCTTGCTGGTCAGACCCCTGAAATAAATTGACATGCCATGTTTATTTCATGACCCCAGGATTCACTACAATCTCTTGAATTACACGCTATAAATATGACAAGCCGTCAGCTCTTCTTGCACTGCTATAAGTAATAAATAATTCAGATCCAGAAAATAATCTCTATCTGTGTAAATCGGCAGTTTACGCTTTAGGACCAGTTTTCACAATTATGCATCCCTTCATTTTGGGAAACTTATTAAATGCCTGCAAAGTTGAGCACCCCTTTTACTAAACTGTATTTTAAATCTCAATTTCAAGAATATCATTTCAATTTAACAGTATATGGCTTTTTGCCAGAGGAAACAATTATTGTCTGTAAAATATATAAGTAAAATAAGTATACAACTTCTTTATAGAAAAGCAATTACGACCATATTCCTGTAATGGGCCTATTTGCTGATAATTACCTAATAATAATTTTGTAAACTATAAACCAGCCTCTGTAAATTAAAGTCGCTGTGGTGCGTGCAGATATGATGTTATCAGAAATGGGTTAAATGATTGTAAGCCTAAAATAGTTTGATTATAAAATGAATCTACTGTCTGCCATTTTCGCTGTTTGTCGCCATGTATACGTAGTGTCAAGGTCGACCTCGTTGCAATGTGCAGCCTTTTTTTAAACAGCTGGTCAATATTTATCAGGAATCACATGACACAATTCCAGCCAATCAGGAGGGGTATCATTTTTGTTTCTAACAAATAAAAATGTGATGTACTTAAAACTGAGATTTCAGTCATTCTTCAGCATTTAGACTTCATTATGGTATATACATGATGTATTACATATGTATAACAGAATTGGGCAAGATTTTTAATAGTTTTAGAAAATCCTCCTGAGCTGAAGTTATCTCCCTTTGTAGTAAATTGTTCTGGACTATAATAGGAAATACTTTGTACAGTGTGTGTGGTGTGTTCTGAGGGGTTAGGTAATGATTTTGTAACTGTTAAAAGACAGAATACGGGATATACTGAGAAAACTGGAGCTACAACTTCAATGGTGGAGATAAACGGGTAAATTACCTGTGTCAATAAAAGATTGATACGATGAATCATATAGGTCAGTTTATGATCTAACCGGACACAATATATATGATAACAACAACAGACATACTTTTTTGAACTGGTTTTGTTTAAATTCAAACTACAAGAATTAAGCTCTTGCGTGTGACTGGTTTAGTCGTACACAGGATCAAGGTCGCCTTTGAGGGAAGCTCCCTGTAGCTCAATGGGTAGAGCGGACTGAGAAGCTGGTTCACTACTTAGATCCCAGTTAGAAGCACACTACTTACTTTCCTGTTATAAATGGTGTTCGGGGCCCTCTCTGTGGTGACAGGGAGGTAGAACCTCATGGTCGGTGTGGTGTTCAGGGGCAAACACATTTAAAACCGTTGTTTACACCTGCCCTACCCTACTTGTCTATATGTAAGCATTTTTGAACACCTCTACACTGTTTCCCTGGCAATACCTTTTGATGTTTTGACATTTTTTTCATGTTGATGTAAGTGTACAAGTTTGTTATTCCTGGCTGGTGGTTTGATTTAGTGAATGAGAATTGAACATGACCATTAATTATTCACATTGGATATAGTGACCCTATAGTCTAGCATCAAGATGACATTGAAGGCACTACTGTCTATATGGACAATTGTCTATTGTGACCACTATATATACTGACTACTTTTATGTTGATGTTTGTAGTGACCACTGTCTATTATAGTGACAACTGCCTATACTGATCACTTATCCATCGATTAATGGTAGTGACCACCGTCTTTACTGACCTCTTCTACATTGTGTTTATAGTGATCACTGTCTAAACTGACCAGCCTAATGTGACCACTGTATATACTGACCACTTCTTCAAATTGATGTTCGTAGCGTGTGAACACTGCTTACAGTGACCACTGTATAAAGCAACCACTCCTACACTGAGGTTTATAGTATACTGTCTATTGTGACCACTGTCTAAAGCAACCACTCATAAAATAAGGTGTATAGTCTACTGTATATAGTGACCACTGTCTAAAGCAACCACTCCTACAATGAGGTGTAGATCCTACTGTATATTGTGACCACTGTCTAAAGCAACCACTCCTACAATGAGGTGTATAGTCTACTGTCTATTGTGACCACCGTCTCAAGCAACCACTCCAATGATATATAAAGTCTACTGTATATTGCGACCACTGTTTATATCGACCACTATCAATAGTGATGTTTACATGTTGATATTTTACAGGATGGTGATGCTCACCAACAACTAGAAAACCTTAAGAAGACAAAATCAGAGCTGCTCAAGAAAATCACCGACCTCAAACAGCAGATAGTGGAGATAGAGAACCAGGAGAATGAGGCCATCAGAGAGGTAGAGTATAGACAGAAACAGATTTACATTGTCACAGTAACAAATGATAGAACTCCAGCATGACAGTGACACTCCTGTAGAACTGGACTACACAGTATCAACACCATGTAAACAGATCAGAAACTTTGGCTGACATCCGATTGCCTTGATCTATCATCACTATATACGGACAATCCAGCACTATGATGAACTCAGCTTGTTATCAATTTTTTTTTATACAGAATAGAGAAATCAAACTACCAAAAGACAACATTATCCAATCAATGAGAAACATATTTTACTCCACACTCTAAAGTTTGATTTATTTGAGAAAGAAATATTAAAATCATCTCAAATATATAGTATTTAATTTTTCGCTGCAATTTCATTTTCATCTTTTTCACCCGCCGTAATGAGGGCGAATATATCATTACAGGGAGGATAAGTACACAAGACAATATGCAAAGTAAATAAATGTGAAGGGAGAAATAACACTGGGCAAATATGGATGATTCTGGCAAAGGGTGAAAACTTGCCAGTATTCAGTATCCATTTGTGAATATATTCAACTGCAATTGAATCCTTAACTCAAGTTTTATACTTTAAAACAATGATGTACCTCTCTGTATAGTTTTAAAGGGAAAGATATTGATTTAAATTTCTTATTCATATCATGTAATATTCCATATCTCAAAGACCATAAGGACTTACCCAGTCTTTAACCAAGAACAGACAACAGTCATACACCATTTCTGGATAAGACATGTGTAACTAAGTCAGGTTAACATGTCTATGATATAAATATAATTGTGTATAACTAGTCAGTGTAATCAACCCAAAAAACATTGGTAATATTACAATTAATGAGAATATTTTGCCATCATTCCTTAAATATGTAGTTGACCAATACAGGTCATCTGGGCCTCTTTTTCATTGTGGTTTTATTGGTGTGGTTGTTATTGTTTTATTGTTGTGTGATGTCATGTTTTTCTGCCATGATTTTATTTATCGTGGTTGCTATGGTTACAGTTGGAGATGGAGCGGGCCTTGTTGGAAGGGGAACACCAGACAGAGATGGATGAGTTACAATCCGACCAGGACAGAATCAATCTCCTCAAACAACGACAGGCCGACCTCATTGAGCGCGCCACACAGGAACGAGAAAAGGTAAACAGTAATCCCCTCTACCATCATGTCCCCCTAATGTAACGGCTCTTGGTGTTTAACAGACAGAAATATAGAACAGTTATCTCCCTTTGATAGTGAAGTTCCTAAACTATGCAAACTAATAATGTACTTCTTTTTAGATATTATACGGTTAAGACTTAAATTCTTTGGACTTTATCATCTCTGTCTACCAAAAAAATAAAAATAAATAAAGATATTCAGAATAAAAAAATGTCCAGGCAGGAGTCTGTTATACACTCTAGATTAATTGTTTGATTTATTTTGAATTGCTTGCATTTTGAATAAAATAAGTGAGGCACAGTTGGTTGCACTTTGCTTGATTTGGAGGTTAGTGTGTTTGGAGCAGCACTGGACATTTATTGGCTACATTCCTAAGTTGATCACCATTACTAGTACCTAAAGATTCCTCATTTAAAACTAACGGAATGACTTCGACAGAACAGATATGCATGATAGTCAGTTTCTCCGGTTCAGATATTGGGATAGCCTTAGATTTGCTGCCATGTACATACTAAGTTATCATTTGTTTATTTTGACAATATGTATACATGGCTCCATTTATATGATTTTATTTCTAACAGCTAGACTTTTCCTCGACTGCACATTTAGTAGATAGTATGTTATCAGTATTCATACCATCGTGTTTACTTAGGTCCTATACAGCCTCTAACTTTACAGGAGCGGCTAGGATCTAACGATTGTTCTAAGCCCCCTTATTAATACCTCCATATGGGTGCATACCTGCACATGTCCTGGGCAGTGTTGATGTTTGGTTTTGAGATGGGATCTTGGTTTCGATCATATATTTTTTCTCTGTATATTGCCACCTCACCTGAATGCTACAGCACGGACTCTGTAGCATCCACACCAGACCACTTAGTCACTTACCGGGATTATTGGAGTTAATAACATAAAGTGTTCCAAGTATAGACTTGTACATCTCTGAAGATAATTATAGACTTGTACATCTCTGAAGATAATTAAGACTTGTACATCTCTGAAGATAATTAAGACTTTTACATCTCTGAAGATAATTAAGACTTGTACATCTCTGCAGATAATTAAGACTTGTACATCTCTGAAGATAATTAAGACTTGTACATCTCTGAAGATAATTAAGACTTGTACATCTCTGACGATAATTAAGAGATGTACACCTGTACATTAAACACCTGTACTTTAGCCCCAGTTTACCTTTATTTCCTACAGATGAGAATACAGGTGGGTACACACACATCTTCATATAATCTATATGTAGACTTGCTCAAGTTCAGACACCTTCAGACAGTGTAACATCCTTTGTTAAAAAATCGGCTATTTTCTACACAGAATGTCACTTTAAATAAACCATTGATCCCAAGGAGTTTTTCCTGTATATCATACTTAAGTAATCAAATCATGTTTCTGTTACTTCATGTATTTTATCCTGTTTTTAGGAGAGAAAAAAATCAAAACACTTCCAGTGGAAAATGAACTTGTGCAAGTCTACGTAACCTGTGTGTAAACATGGTAGTTGTAGAATGTGACACTGGCCCCTTCACTTCAGAGTAGACTGTTCCATTACAGAGAATGGGGCATTCCACTTCTGGATCACTGGGGTCAGGGTGGAAATGTGCATCTTCCAGCATCCTTTATAACCAACTGTATCCGCACATATTGTACTTCTTTTTTTAAGTTTGTTTGTATTTGTTTTTAATTGGACCTATTTTTTTTTTACTTTTTAGTGTAAATAGTTTAATTGGTGTGTTGTATTTTTTTAGACAAGTCAAAACCGATTTCAGATAAACCATGATTAAAGAGCACTTCATCACTTGTCTCCAAAACCTCCCAGACTACACATACAAACCTGTCAGCAAGTCACCGCAAACTTTCTAATATAAGCACAGCACACACAGGGGGGGGGGGCACCTGAGCATTATTACTGATGTGTGTGAGAGGGGGCGGGGTTATTGTCAAATATATCATTAATTCATTAAGGAGACAATTTCTTACAAAAACAAATGCTGAATTACATTGAACATGAAGAAAATATTGAAACTGATGAGAGTGTGATATGTTTCTGTTCTTGTGTTTGAGGGTATTTGGTCCCATTAGTAAAATCTCTGTGCACAGTAGCACTAGTATCGTACAGAACTCTCCCTGTTTCTGGTCTATACTAACTGGGTGTCTGGTTTCTGAACAACATGGACACAATAACATCAGGTTTTACCTCGCTATCTACTTGACTATTGGATCATTTGTGTCAATACATTTTGTAATTGAAAAATAATAAAACTATTAAAAAGACATGCATTTTACAACATAAACAACACATAAATTGTCAGAATATTGATTGAACAGTACAGTGCACACAACATCCAACAGTACAGTGTACACAGCATTAAACAGTACAATGTACACAACATTGAACAGTACAGTATATACAACATTGAACAGTACAGTGTACATAACATTGAACAGTACAATGTACACAACATTGAACATTACAATGTACACAACATCCAACAGTACAGTGTATACAACATTGAACAGTACAGTGTACATAACATCCAACAGTACAGTGAACACAACCTCCAACAGTACAGTGTACACAACATCCAACAGTACAGTGTACACAACATTGAACAGTAAATAGTATACAACATTGAACAGTACAGTATACACAACATTGAACAGTACAGTGTACATAACATCCAACAGTACAGTGTACACAACATCCAACAGTACAGTGTATACAACATTGAACAGTACAGTGTACACAACATTGAACAGTACAGTGTACACAACATTGAACAGTACAGTGTACACAACATTGAACAGTACAGTGTACATGACATCCAACAGTACAGTGTACACAACATTGAACAGTACAATGTACACGACATCCAACAGTAAATAGTACACAACATTGAACAGTACAGTGTACACACCATTGAAATGTACAGTGTACACAACATTGAACAGTGCAGTGTACACAACATTGAACAGTACAGTGTACACAACATTGAACAGTACAGTGTATGCAACATTGAACAGTACAGTGTACACAACATTGAACAGTACAGTGTACACAACATTTATTTTATTGTTATGTATATACTGTTTAATGTATGCATGTTTTTTAAAAAGTCAGAAATATATGTTTGTAAAACATATTCATACAAAACTTGATCATTGAAGTCATCGGACAGCTGTAATATTATCACTGAGCCAACCGGTGACCCACCTTGTTTGTAAGAGAATTTCCTGTAAAATCACAGGATATAGACTCAATTACATTCAATACCTTTTTAGAGTGAAACTTACTTTGGGTTTGATTTTATTTATGAACTGAAATGTGACACAAAGTGGACTTTTACTAGGAAAGAAGTCACAAATCAGATTGAGGTGTAGTGCTGTATCTGTCTTGTTTATTTCTTTTAAATGGTTGTGTTTAATGCCACTATTTCTTCTTCTTTGAAATAATTGCAATACTTCATGAAATGTATGGATATGCATGGCCGAGTGAATGTTTGTGGAATGTTTGTGGAATGTTGAGCTGTTGACGGAATGTATAATAAACCATCTAATATATATGTGTCGATGTTGTAAATGGGTATTGTAGACACGCGTGGTCGTGTATATTCTATAAATAGGTCCCAGCATGGTCTGTAAATATATCAAAGTTTGTAGTGTGATTGAGGACAGTATTTAATAATGAGGTGTGTAAACACTGACAGTTGGACAGACTTTCACTACATATACTATAAACATGTATATCTGATCAGAATTCAGAGTGAAGTACTGAACATACTTTATTCATACATACATATAGTATAACAACGGGAGGAGATCCTCGGACCACAAAACTCCAGACGGATACCCTAGTTAATTGGGCTACATTGTACTGTGTCACCTGAACTAGTCACCTGGACTAGTCACCTGGCCATGTCCCCCTCCCCCCAACCTCCGAAGACAACACTATTTACAACCCAGGTAGTTAAGGTGCCCTCTTATTAAGGGTTATGGGTTGGTCAAAGGGCACCACCATAACAGGAGGAAAGGAAAAATGTACTGCTAGATCAGAGTAACCTCTTAACTCTAGAGGGACACTCTAACCAATTAACTACATACCTGGTCAACTACATACCTGGTCAGCTACATACCTGGTCAACTACATACCTGGTCAGCTACATACCTGGTCAACTACATACCTGGTCAACTACATACCCGGTCAGCTACATACCTGGTCAACTTCATACCTGGTCAACTACATACCTGGTCAGCTACATACCTGGTCAAGTTCATACCTGGTCAACTTCATCCCTGGTCAACTACATTCCTGGTCAACTACATATACCTGCTCAGCTACATACCTGGTCTACTACATACCTGGTCGACTACATACCCGGTCAGATACATACCTGGTCAACTCCATACCTGGTCAGCTACATCCCTGGTCAGCTACATACATGGTACCCTACATATACCTGCTCAGCTACATACCTGTTCAACTACATACATGGTCAGCTACATACCTGGGCAACTACATACCTCGTCAACTTCATACCTGGTCAACTTCATCCCTGGTCAACTACATACCTGGTCAGCTACATACCTGGTCAACTACATACCTGGTCAAAGGCTCTCGACCCATTCCATTTCTGCTACACACCTCCATCCTTACCCTTAAACCATATATATACAACATAGGTGCTGCTATCCCCTTGCCAAGTGTACACACACTGATTGAGAAAAGGTTGGTTATAAAATCATTTGTTACGGTTGAGAGAAAGAAAAAAAAAGTACCAGAGTGGGATTCAAACCTTGAACCTCCAATCTCTAGACAGAGTCTCTAACCAATAGTGCTGTCTTGTCACTGGTAGGCACATGGACCATTCTCATCAGAATAAACTAACAAATCACCAGCTCAAAGGACTTCTCAGTACTCTATCATTAGATACCAAACCAAGGTGCTAAAATTGACCTGGAGCTCCACAACAACCAGCCGTGTGTCGGTATTAAGTGGCCAGGCAAAACTTCACTAGACCGTTGTTCAGTAATATTTGTTTACAGATTTTGTAAATTTAATAATCATAATTCTAATAATTGGGTAAATTGATATTATGTTTTATATTTTTTGCTACTAGGCAGGTACACACAAATATTTGGCTGCAGCACATTTAAGGTGCTTATGTGTATAACTTGATTTATTTATATTGCAAATGTTGAAAATTTCAACACTGTACTTATGTAAGCACTTACTGGTTTGTGTGAAAAACAACAAATGAAGATTACCACTATAATTTGTACTTGTATACAGTTTATTAAATACGTACATAAAAGATTGTTTAAAAGATTCTTAAATAACTTGTTTTACTAATTTAAAAGACGGTAACAGGAACTGTTATGATCATTTTATTTGATATGTACGAGATTTTTTATTATTTAGTCATCTCCATAGCTAGATGCATAACATAATTAGTTGTGCTTGTGAATTAAGAAAGTCAAGATAAGTTCATTAACAGTAATCACTTAGCAGAATTATTTACTTGTAAAATGCAGAATTACCTGCTGCGCTACTTTTTGTAGTAAGTATACAAAACGCGGAGTATGATTCTGAACAACAGTGAATTAGCTCCCTTGTTACTATTTTTAGGAGGAGAATCGTATACAGAGTGAGCGCGAGAAGCTGATGGAACTAGAACGTCATCACTACGACACTGAACAGATCCTAGAAAACTGTCGCAAGGAGGAGGAAGAGGTCTACCTCGAACGTTTCCAGCGCGAGCAGGAGGTCCTGGACAACCAGAGACGTCTCTTTGATGACCTTGAGTTTCAGCAGCTGGAGGTATCAATAAAGTCATCAGAAAATACAAGATCTATCATTAATAGAAACTGGTTTTGATAATACTATGTGTATAGATCTGTGTTATTATTAGTTATCACAGGTTATAGAGATGTCTGTCCGTTTCAGTTTATGTATCTTGTAATTAATTTCTAGGCAACACGATTTTGAATCGGTCGATAAAAAGAACAAACGTTATTGTAATAGTTAATCATTTTTACCATGTAGCAATGAATTGACTTGAAAATATTCCAATTTGAAATGACCTCTTCTGAAAATAATTTCGCAGAAAGAGTTGCAAGTGAATCATAAACTGATATAATATTTATATATGTTGAAATACTTCATTAATGGATTTTCGTAAAAGTAAGACTGTTGTGTTTTCAGTCCGAGGCAAAGTTTGAGGAGGAAAAGGAGCAAATACAACGTAAATTGATGAAAGGCCAGAATGAACTTCTGGAGAAGTACAGGTCAAGGGAGGTAAGTCTGAAAGCTTGATGAGGAAGGATTTCAAGTCAAGGGAGGTAAGTCTGAAAGCTAGATGAGGGAGAAGTTCAGGTCAAGGGAGGTAAGTCTGAAACCTTAAGGAGAAGTACGGGTCAAGGGAGGTAAGTCTGAAACATTAAAGAGAAGTACAGGTCAAGGGAGGTAAGTCTGAAACCTTAAGGAGAAGTACGGGTCAAGGGGGTAAGTCTGAAACCTTAAGGAGAAGTACGGGTCAAGGGAGGTAAGTCTGAAAGCTAGACGAGGGAGAAGTACAGGTCAAGGGAGGTTAAGTCTAAAACCTGAAGGAGAAGTACACATAAATAAGATAAATCCATTTGGAGAAGTTCAGGTCAAGGGAGGTAAGTCTGAAACCTTAAGGAAAAGTACTGATAAATAAGATAAATCCGATTGGAGAAGTACAGGTCAAGGGAGGTAAGTCTAAAACCTTAAGGAGAAGTACAGATAAATAAGATAAATCCATTTGGAGAAGTACAGGTCAAGGGAGGTAAGTCTGAAACCTTGCGGAGAAGTAACGGTCAAGGGAGGTAAGTCTAAAACCTTAAGGTTAAGTACAGATAAATAAGATAAATCCATTTGGAGAAGTACAGGTAAAAGGAGGTAAGTTTGAAACCTTAAGGAGAAGTACAGATAAATAAGATAAATCCTTTTTGAGAAGTACAGGTCAAGGGAGGTAAGTCTAAAACCTTAAGGAGAAGTACAGATAAATAAGATTAATCCTTTTTAGAAGTACAGGTCAAGGGAGGTAAGTCTGAAACGTTTTCACCACTACTGCATGATATCACTGTGACACCAAATGTCTTAACTAAGTTTGTTAGACATCCGTTAATGAGATGTTCACTGATGAAATTAAGGAAAAGATTTAGAGCAGTAAAATAAGAAATACACTGGGCTCCCCTACAAAAGAGTTCTGAAGAAAATTTGTAATATATCTTCTTTTATAGGTAGTATTTTAATTAAAGTTAGTTTATTTTAATTGATGATAATTTTGAAATGCAAAATATGTTATAATAATTAATTTTGTGAATTATTTGATAAATCTGATAAAAAGTTTACAAGGAGGGATAGTTCCAATATATATATATAACAGCTAGACTATGTGTAAGGTAGCATACCTCCTTAACAGTCTACACTTGTTTTTCCAGGGACGCCTCCAGCAAATAGACAACCAGCAGAAGGAGATGCTAAACAACGTGAAGCAGGACATGGAGTCGATGGAACAGCGACGACAGCAGCTGGTCGAGGAGTTCAGAAAGGTAACCATGGCAACCAAGATGGCTGTCATATTTGTAAACTTAAGTTCATTCAGAGAAATCGGAGCAGATTTGAAAAAAAGACGTTGGACTTCTTTAAATAGATTATCCCTTATCATTCTACTTCAATCCTGCTGTTTACTTCAATCCTGCTGTTTACTTCAATCCTGCTGTTTCCTTTTTGATTAACAGGAGTTTGTTTACATATTTTATTTTCTATTATTTGTGTTTTATCTGTATGCCAGCCACAGCCTTACTTTCGGTCAAAACCTCATTCACAACTTATCCTGTTTAGTTCAATTGTTTTCCCACAACTGAAATTTTCCTGTTTATTTTCTGTGAAATGCCATTTGTAGACAACGAATATGTTGAGCTTACACATGAAAAATGGGTTAGAGCTTTTGAAACAAGGTCAGTTTAATTGATTAATTTAGGAATTTATATCCAACTGAAAGATACAAATATTCTGTGTACACAGTTGAAACATGAGAAGGAGATAATTGTTACGTGAGATACAATTAGATATTAAACAGAATGGTTGAATAAAATTGTTTGTGAAAATCATAATATGAGACAAATTCCATGTTTGGGATTACTGACAGAAACATTTACTTTACAGCACAAGAAACAGTTAGCTGGAGTGATGAAGAAAATTCAGGAAATATCACAATTCTTGTCTGTTCCCGTAAACGATGAAATATTAGATCAGCGAGGACGATCGTCGGATAATGAGACGGAGGTACATCACCACACAGGCCTTACACAAATAACCTCACCACACAGGCCTTACATACAAATAACCTCACCACACAGGCTTTACATACAAATAATCTCAAATACAGGCCTTACATACAAATAATCTCACCACATAGGCCTTACATACAAATAACTTCACCACACAGGCCTTACATACAAATAACCTCACCACACAGGCTTTACATACAAATAACCTCACCTAACAGACTTTACATACAAATAACCTCACCACACAGGCTTTACATACAAATAACCTCACCACACAGGCCTTACATACAAATAACCTCACCACACAGGCCTTACATACAAATAACCTCACCACACAGGCCTTACATACAAATAACCTCACCACACAGGCCTTACATACAAATAACCTCACCACACAGGCCTTACATACAAATAACCTCACCACACAGGCCTTACATACAAATAACCTCACCACACAGGCCTTACATACAAATAACCTCACCACACAGGCCTTACATACAAATAACCTCACCACACAGGCCTTACATACAAATAACCTCACCACACAGGCCTTACATACAAATAACCTCACCACACAGGCCTTACATACAAATAATCTCACCACACAGGCCTTACATACAAATAACCTCACCACACAGGCCTTACATACAAATAACCTCACCACACAGGCCTTACATACAAATAATCTCACCACACAGGCCTTACATACAAATAACCTCACCACACAGGCCTTACATACAAATAATTTCACCACACAGGCCTTACATACAAATAACCTCACCACATAGGCCTTGCATACAAATAACCTCACCACATAGGCCTAACATACAAATAACCTCACCACACAGGCTTTACATACAAATAACCTCACCACACAGGCCTTACATACAAATAACCTCACCACACAGGCCTTACATACAAATAACTTTGATGACAATGGCATACTCAATTTTTATTGATTTAATTATAACAAGGAAATTGATTAACTTCCGCCTTTTGGTTTTGAGTTATTTCCCTTGTTATAAAATGGTATTTTTAGATTTTGTTTTAAATTATTTCATTTATTAATCTTTAATACTTCATAGATCTCTGTAAATAACTTTTACTCATTACTTGTTATTTCCATATGTTTTGATATTTTTAACATTTGAAAACAGATCTGTTGGTAATTAAATTTAAGGATTAAACTCTTTTCTAACCATGAACTACATGTACAGTAGTTCTCATATTGTGACAGTTTCCATTGCATTTTAAGTTTAGTAACAAAAGCAGCGTTTTCCGAACAAACTGCTGTATACAACACTTCATTCTATGTACTTTACAAGGATTTTAGGACTGATAAATTGGGTTGGTTTCCTTTTAAATTAAGGTCATATTTTCCTCTATTTTATAGAAAAATTAGCCTGAAATTTTTACAACAAATTCACATAACTACCAGTTTAATATTTTGTTTATCTGTTTGAGTTGTTTGGCATTGTATTATTGAGTTATAAATTAATAGAGGAAAAAGTGTAAAAAAACCCACCGCTATTCAATAATAGATTTGCTCATTTAAGCTGCAAATGTTTGTTACCCCTGATTTTCAAAAAGGCAGTTTTTGTTTCATTAAGCTAGATTTATCGGTTTTTACTTGAAATTTTCCCAAACAGAGTACAATTTCGAAAAACTTTCTAAATGAAAATATCACTACTGCACAAAAATCTGGATCTTTGGAAAATTGAAGGGAGACAACTCTTCTAGGTTTAAATTTCAGTGGTAGTGCTGAGAAACCAAGATGAGTTGTAATGTATGCATTGGATATTGGAATTGTTTATGTACTATATAATCGTCCCTGTATTTTGTACTTGCAGGAGGATGTTTTTTTATGTATTTTATAAAAATGAAAGAGTTTTTTTCTGTTTCTGTAAAATGTCTTATCACAATGAACTGTTGCTGAAGTATATAATTTAATAATTAATATTTTTATATGATAATACTTTTTTTGCTGATTTGTCAGAAAAAACATATCTGCAGCAACTTTTTGTTTATTTTTCAGGACAAACAAGATTTGAGGAGTTCCAGTCAGGGTTCACTACCAAAGACACCCACTCATCACTCAGTTGACTTATCTCCCCTGTTGACATCAACACCTCACAGCTTATCTCCCTTTCCGAACTCTTTGTCACACTTACAAATCACGCCAAATAATAATAATGTGACTAACTACAGCTCAGGGTCATCCCCTACGGGGCTCACACCTGGGTCCAACACGGGGTCCCCAAAGGGATTCCTGCTGTCTAATAGTGCGTACTCAGGTGAGCGGAAAAAATCTACCACACTTCTGGACATAGAGAAAAACCGCTGTCTATTTATGGAACAGCAAGGCAAGTCACCTTAGCAACACACAGCTTACATGTAACCTGCTCATTTTAACTCGAGAAACAGAAATTCTGAAATTCAAAGTTAACCAAAAAAAGAAGTCATTAAGTTATAATTCTAGCTAAAATATTAATACATGCTTTGATTTCACAAAAACTCTTAAGCTAGGATTTTCCCTTAAATTTAGTGACCCTGAATATAAAGTATTACTTAAAATAAGGAAAACTCCGTTATTCAGTTATACTTCAGACAAAATATTCTTCAAAATTACTTTGATGTCTGCAAATTCAATAGTAGAGGAAATGAGCAGGTTTCATGTTTTCTGTACTCTGAAGATCAAACAAGATCTGTGCATGACTTAATGCTAATTTTGATAACTAGATATGTGATTTCAGAATTAAAGAAATATTTTACTCTTTGTAAAGGATTGATTGTAAAAGAGTGCTGCAGAAATCCATTGGTACAATTTGGAACAAAATCCAGATGACCTTGTTTCTGTACATGGCGTTTATTTCAATCCCTAAACTGTAACATAAAAATGATGTACTTTTAAAAATGGAGTACACATATTTTGCTGATGTCCTGATGTTAAATACTAATAGTGTTACAACAAAAGTCATGAACTGACATGACAGATATTTTGAACGCTCGAGACGATTGAGCTGAACAGATCTTCAGAGTAAACCTAACATTAGCACACATCTCCTTTAGTCAACAGTCAATCCAAGTGTACTTTTTTTTTACTTGATATTTGTAGTCTGGCTAATTACAGAACTGTATTCCTTGAGAATTTTCACATATGCATCAGTTGACCTATTACAGGTCAAACAGGTATTGTTGTTGTGGAGTTCTATCATTTAATTGTGTTTGTTATAAATTCTCCAAGTTAAAAGTTCCAGAATATTCAGTCATCCTGACTCTTTCACGTATAATTACAAGTTGATCAATTTGTATATTTTTTGGTTAAAAAATCTAAATTTGGGATTTTTTTATTTTTTCAAAATTCATATTAAAAACCAGACAAGTTTTTGCATTAAAAGAAAAGAAAGTTTAAGACTCTATAGGATTTTGATTTAATTTTGCTTTTGTTTTTTTGAAGAATCACTGTTTACTATAACATATATATAACATATTACTTGACAAATTATTCAGTTTGTTTATACCGAAGCATTCCTTGGATTGATTGTTATATGTATATATATAGAACACACATATATATACCACTAATATCACTGTCTACACACCTAATCATGTTTTACCAGTGATAAACAAGAAGTCATACTCCTTAAACAAGGGGAGGTAACTGTGTATAGAGCTAAATACGGAATATGAGTTACATGTAAGATGTAGTGATATTCAGTATAACTTTCATATATAAAATCTGTTAAGTTGGTGGGCTCATCACCAGACGTGGATTTATCACCGGTTCAGCATGATACATCTATAAAATCTATCTACAAGTAGTGTTTTCTATATACTCCTATTCTTAGATAGGTATATAGAAGGTCTATTCTACATATATAATCTGAATTATAGATTTTAGTATAGTCCTGCTGATGTATAGTAATACATATATAGTCCGACGTGTATAAAAGGTCTATTTTATGTATAATCTTGACTATATATTTTAGTATAGTCCTGCTGATGTATAGTAATATATATATAGTCTGAGGTGTTTATAATCCCATGCTGCCAGTTCTCCGTAGGCCAGGTGTGACCCCACTTGTCGGGCAGGTTTGGTTTAGTTTGTTTATCCACCTATCAACAGCTGTGGTCATTTAAGGACGGCCTCCCCTGTGTGCAAGTTGTATGCGTGTGTGTTTTGGAAGGCTGCAATATGTTAATGTTTGTCAATAGAGCGGAACTGATGCCGACTTTTAGTTTATAGTGCTACCTCACTGAAACATACTGCCGAAGACACCCATCAGTGAGAGGCTTAGAAGTATATTGGGTTTGTCAAGCTTCTCAAGAATGAATATTTAGATTTTTGATGAAATTTTGCAAGGCAAGTTTTTTTCCCTGAAGATGTTTTTTTGTGTCAATTCAAAACCTAAGATGGTCAATATCATGTGTAAGTCATTGACATTTTCTTTTACTTTTATTGAAAAAAAAAAATAAAAAAAAAATAGCCAAACGATCATAACTGATTTAAATGATTCTCTAATGATGAAGAGGAATAAGGAAAAGAACAATTGTTTTGAGATTCATATGCATAATCCCAACACCAAATTGTGTCATTTAACTGGTATGTGTAAGGCAGTGATAATCCTATATTCTGTACTCCCAGTAAAGGTCCAACGCACAAACACAAATGTCATATCGTCAGTGCATGAAACGAAACATGCCATTATACTTACGACCGGATATATTATTTCATGATTTATGAGGTGATGTTTCACAAATGCATCTCAATCTTTCATAACGGAAAGAGTTATGGGTCCCTCGTGAGATGATGTGACGTGGATCTCTGGAGGGTTTAACCGACTAGAAAAAGTAACACCATGAGCTACAAAGGGAAGGCTGGAAATGGTTCTGCCATTCTGTACAATTAGTAACGATCCTAAATTTAACTGCAGATCGAGTCAAAACTCAGCAGCCAGACAAGGATTCAAACCCAAGACCTTCAAACTCTAGACTGCCACTCTAAAAAAGTGAATTATGAATTTGAAATTTTTGTTTCATTTCTCGAAAGATGATTGATAACAGCTTTTCACAATTTATCAATTATTAGCACAACAGGCCCAGTGAACCTCTTACTCTGGATTCCTCATTGCTTACTGTATGTGCTTGCACTTGATTTTTAATTTAGAGATAAAGAAAGTAGATAGAAATAAAAAGGGAAAAAAATGTAAATTAAAACGTTTGTTTCCCGACATAATTTGTGTGGGAGTTGGCAGAAATGGCACTTGTCAGAGATGTGTGTGTGTGTGTTCAGGCAATGTGCCACGATTTAAGTCTAGGTGATTATAATTGTCTTTGTCAGCTAGGGAAAAATGAAATGAGATGTATTTTGGATTTAAGTAAAGCAGTAACATCATGAAATGCCTTACTCTGACATAACATGCTGTCGTAGAATCACTTTTTTACAAACATTTCCATTCCGTCCTTGTCCTACTTGAGGGCATTAGCCATTTTCTATGAAATATGAATATAGAATTATTTTTTTACAAATATATCCGTTCTGTCTTTATCGATACTTGTGGGCAAATTTTATGAAATCTAATGTGAAGTTTTTTGGGTGTCTGTAACATTCAGTAATATACATGTAATGATCAATAGATAGAATGATAGATCAGTGTTAAAGGATTTGCTTTAGAAATCATATTATTTTTAAAAAAAAACTTGAGTTGTTTACTTTAAGAATACTTATCTGAGGGCTTTGAACCAGACAGATCCTAGAGCCCCGTAACTAACAGATCCTAGTGCTCTGCTCTTATAGATCCTAGGCCCTAACCCATACAGATCTTAGTCCCATCCATACAAGCCCTTTGGCCCAAACCTATACAGATCTTAGTCCCATCCATACAAGCCCTTTGGCCCAAACCCATACAGATTCTAGTCCCATTCATACAAGCCCTTTGGCCCAAACCCAAACAGATTCTAGTCCCATCCATACAAGTCCTTAGGCCCTGAATTGTACACAACCTGGGTCCGCTGTCCTGGGCTTTAGCTTCTTAATTCACATCTCAAATATCACTTTATATGTCCTTATATTTAAAAAAAAAAAAAAATGCAACAATTGTAATGTATATTATACAAGAGTTAATATTTCTAACAGATTGTTGTTTTTTATCTCATTTTTAGACTTTGATGCTTCTTTTTTGGATGATGAGATAATTAAAATAGATATATGTATGGCTTTTTATAGTAAAAAATAACAAGAACAAAATCAACACATTTCAGTGGGTTGTCTTAAGCCAGAATATGAAACTTGTGATTTTTCCATGAACAACAAAAACGTTTTCAACCTCCTATAAATATACTCATTTGAATAACCCCCCCTTTATGGTTATTCCTGTAAACAGGCAGCACTGTGATTGAGCAAGAGAAGAAGAGGATTGAGGAGCTGAAACGTCGGGCTGCTGATGAGGGAAGAGCTCAGTGGGAGGAGCGCAAACTCAGGGAGGCAAACTGTAAAAGTTTCAACTCATTGGAGTCTGAGGACTCCAGCATTGCCAGCAGCTGTGAAACACCCTCAGAGAAAGAAACAAGGTAGGTAACTCTATGTAGGAAGGGAGACAACTCCAATAAATCTAATGTTACATTGCCAGCAGCTGTGAAATAACCTCAGAGATAGAGACAAGGTAGGTAACTCTATGTAGGAAGGGAGACAACTCCAATAAATCTAATGTTACATTGCCAGCAGCTGTGAAATAATCTCAGAGATAGAGACATGGTAGGTAACTCTATGTAGGAAGGTAGACAACTCCAATAAATATTTTGTAAAAGATATATATACCACTGGAACTTTTTCTTGCTGCATGGTTGGTTTTATTTCAGCGGAGTTGAATAAGAGACGGAGAAGAGGGACAACTCAAATTGTTTTCAGATTTATAAACAATATATCCATATTCTGCCATATTTGTAAAGTATACAAACTTAGGTATAAGGATTTAACTGGTATGTGTACGGCAGTGATAATCCTTTATTCTGACAACTGATGTACTCCCAGTAAAGGTCCGACGCACAAACACAAATGTCATATCGTCAGTGCATGAAACGAAACATGCCATTATACTTACGACCGGATATATTATTTCATGATTTATGAGGTGATGTTTCACAAATGCATCTCAACCTGTCGCAATGCACCGCATATATGAATGCCTTGTAATAAAGTTATGTGAGGGTGATCTCTGGAGAGTGACACTGACTAGAGAAAGGAGGATACTGTGAGTTTCTGTACCCGGATGCATTTGGTGTAAATTCTGGTCCAATTATGCATGAAAACAAAATTTCTGTTTATGCTATTTATACTTGTTTTGTATCCGGTACATATGGATGAGCTGGGTGTCAAAAAGGGTCAGACTATATTGCAAAAAATGAAAAATACCAGTTTTTGTGAATATATCAAGATTATCATTGTAATCATGCAGTTATGGAAATTTCTGCTAATTTCAAAATGCACTCAAAGTTTTATTTTGAGGGAAGCAGGTCTAATAAACAGCTCCTTGTCAGTCTACAGGGAAGTCTAATAAACAGTTCCTTGTCAGTCTATAGGGAAGTCTAATAAACAGTTCCTTGTCAGTCTACAGGGAAGTCTCATAAACAGCTCCTTGCCAGTCTACAGGGAAGTCTAATAAACAGCTCCTTGTCAGTCTATAGGGAAGTCTAATAAACAGTTCCTTGTCAGTTTACAGGGAAGTCTAATAAACAGTTCCTTGTCAGTCTACAGGGAAGTCTAATAAACAGCTCCTTGTCAGTCTACAGGGAAGTCTAATAACCAGCTCCTTGTCAGTCTACAGGGAAACGTGTCTAATAAACAGCTTGTCAGTCTACAGGGAAGTCTAATAAACAGCTCCTTGTCAGTCTACAGGGAAGTCTAATAAACAGCTCCTTGTTAGTCTACAGGGAAGTCTAATAACCAGCTCCTTGTCAGTCTATAGGGAAGTCTAATAAACAGCTTGTCAGTCTACAGAGAAGTCTAATAAACAGCTCCTTGTTAGTCTACAGGAAAGCAGGACTAATAAACAGCTCCTTGCCAGTCTACGGAGGCAGGTCTAATAAACAGCTCCTTCCCAGTCTACGGGGAAGTCTAATAAACAGTTCCTTGTCAGTCTATAGGGAAGTCTAATAAACAGTTCCTTGTCAGTCTACAGGGAAGTCTAATAAACAGCTCCTTGTCAGTCTACAGGAAAGCAGGTCTAATTATCAACTCATTGCCAGTCTAAAGGGAGGCAGGTCTAATAAACAGCTCCTTGCCAGTCTACGGGGAAGTCTAATAAACAGCTTGTCAGTCTACAGGGAAGTCTAATAAACAACTCCTTGTCAGTCTACAGGGAAGTCTCATAAACAGCTCCTTGCCAGTCTACAGGGAAGCAGGACTAATAAATAGTTCCTTGTCAGTCTACAGGGAAGTCTAATAAATAGTTCCTTGTCAGTCTACAGGGAAGTCTAATAAACAGCGCCTTGTCAGTCTACAGGGAAGTCTAATAACCAGCTCCTTGTCAGTCTACAGGGAAGTCTAACAAACAGCTCCTTGTCAGTCTACAGGGAAACGCGTCTAATAAACAGCTCCTTGTCAGTCTACCGGGAAGTCTAATAAACAGTTCCTTGTCAGGCTACAGGGAAGTCTAATAAACAGCTCCTTATCAGTCTACAGGGAAGTCTCATAAACAGCTCCTTGCCAGTCTACAGAGAAGTCTAATAACCAGCTCCTTGTCAGTCTACAGGGAAGTCTAATAAACAGCTCCTTGTCAGTCTACAGGGAAGTCTCATAAACAGCTCCTTGCCAGTCTACAGGGAAGTCTAATAACCAGCTCCTTGTCAGTCTACAGGGAAGTCTAATAAACAGTTCCTTGTTAGTCTACAGGGAAGTCTAATAAACAGCTCCTTGCCAGTCTACAGGGAAGTCTAATAAATAGTTCCTTGTCAGTCTAAAGGGAAGTCTAATAAATAGTTCCTTGTCAGTCTACAGGGAAGGCTAATAAACAGCTCCTTGTCAGTCTACTGGAAAGCAGGTATAATTATCAACTCCTTGCCAGTCTACAGGGAAGCAGGACTAATAACCAGCTCCTTGCCAGTCTACAGGGAAACGCGTCTAATAAACAGCTCCTTGCCAGTCTACAGGGAAGTCTAATAACCAGTTCCTTGTTAGTCTACAGGGAAGTCTAATAAACAGCTCCTTGTCAGTCTACAGGAAAGCAGGTATAATTATCAACTCCTTGCCAGTCTACAGGGAAGCAGGACTAATAAACAGCTCCTTGCCAGTCTACAGGGAAGCAGGACTAATAAACAGCTCCTTGCCAGTCTACAGGGAAACGCGTCTAATAAACAGCTCCTTGTCTGTCTACAGGGAAACGCGTCTAATAAACAGCTCCTTGTCAGTCTACAGGGAAGTCTAATAAACAGCTCCATGCCAGTCTATAGGGAAGCAGGTCTAATAAACAGCTTGTCAGTCTACAGGGAAGTCTAATAAACAGCTCCTTGCCAGTCTATAGGGAAGCAGGTCTAATAAATAGCTCCTTGTCAGTCTACAGGGAAGTCTAATAAACAGTTCCTTGTCAGTCTACAGGGAAGCAGGTCTAATAAACAGCTTGTCAGTCTACAGGGAAGTCTAATAACCAGCTCCTTGTCAGTCTACAGGGAAGTCTAATAACCAGCTCCTTGTCGGTCTACAGGGAAACGCGTCTAATAAACAGCTCCTTGTCAGTCTACAGGGAAGCAGGTCTAATAAACAGCTCCTTGCCAGTCTACAGGGAAGTCTAATAAACAGCTCCTTGTCAGTCTACAGGGAAACGCGTCTAATAAACAGCTCCTTGCCAGTCTATAGGGAAGTCTAATAAACAGCTCCTTGCCAGTCTATAGGGAAGCAGGTCTAATAAACAGTTCCTTGTCAGTCTACAGAGAAGTCTAATAAACAGCTCCTTGTCAGTCTACAGGGAAGTCTAATAAACAGCTTCTTGCCAGTCTACAGGGAAGTCTAATAAACAGCTCCTTGCCAGTCTACAGGGAAGCAGGTCTCATAAACAGCTCCTTGCCAGTCTACAGGGAAGTCTAAAAACCAGCTCCTTGTCAGTCTATAGGGAAGCAGGTCTAATAAACAGATTTTTGCCAGTCTACAGGGAAGTAGGTCTATTAAACAGCTCCTTGTCAGTCTACAGAGAAGCAAGTATTATAAACAGCTCCTTGAAACTGTGTGACTGATAAAATCAATCATTTTACTATGACAAGCCACTCATCTGTAAACCATTACTGTCAATCCTATTATCTCCATTCCATTTGTGTTACTACGACTACCAGTCACTTAATTCCACCAGTCGCTTTTCTGTTTTATTATTTCCGCTATTTAAGCAAAAATTTGCGAGTGAGAGAAAGTTGATGTATAATTGATTTGTTTTTGGTTTGTTGGACTCAGCTGAACTTGGTCAGTTTACATGTGGTAAATATTCTACAGATTCCCAACTTGTAGATTTTTGCAAATACAAATAATAGTATTTATGTTTCTGGTGTACAAGTTAGAGATTCAGTTTTCTGATTATGGTTTATTAGAGGCAGCTCTGTTTTTGTAATGATTCTGTCCATAATTGGGAATGTTGTTATGATATGTTACTCGCCATCATATTGAGGGGGGTATGTATTTTTATCTGTAAATGAGTGGGTTTTGTGAGATGGATCTGTCACTCAGTATACTGTGTACGTTATCTACTTCACTTTTATATAATATTACATAAGGCTTTACACTTCTTCATCTTCTCTGTATTCCTCCCTCTCCCCTTCGTCATCCCCCTCTTCTCTGTATCCCTCCCCTCCCCTTCGTCCCCATCTTCTCTTTATCCCTCCCCTCCCCCCTGTGTCTCCATCTTATCTGTACCCTTGGATCACCCTCCCCTCCCCTTCGTCCCACCTTCTCTTTATCCCTTCCCTCCCCCCTGTGTCTCCATCTTATCTGTACCCTTGGATCACCCTCCCCTCCTTCATATCCCTTTTTCATGTATCCTTCCCCATCCCCTCCTTTGTCATCCTAACCAATCAATGAACCTCCGTCAGAAAAGTGTTTGAGTTTTTTTGCCCCTTAGTCTAATACCAACAGAGCTGGACATGCCAATCGGATTTCAGGTTGCTAATCGTCTGAAGTCGTTCATTTGTAATTAAGGCTAAGGCTGATTAACGAGGCAGTGCAGACAGCTTAGTGGACAATGGCAAGAGTGCCTGTGTAGAGTTCAAGTAGCTTCTCACCACCAGCAGACTCATCACTCACTGTATCTCTGTCTCGTTAGAGTTCTTCTATTCAAGAAGTATTTGGTTAATATTCTGATAATATCCTTCAAATTGCGTTACTAAGATGAAGCATAGCATATTATGACTATGATAATTATGATACTGACCTTGGGGCAGGCTCTGATCATATTCACCCTGACTTTAGGCCGGGCTGTGATCATATTCACCCTGACTTTAGACTGGGCTGTGATCATATTCACCCTGACTTTAGGCTGGGCTCTGATCATATTCACCCTGACTTTAGGCCTGGCTCTGATCATATTCACCATGAC